ATTGGTTTAATGGTTTAATGATTTATTGGTTTAATGGTTTAATGATTTAATGGGTTTCCATATGCGGAAAACCAAGCCCTATATAGAATCGTTGATACAAAGGCTGCGGAATACAGGGGGGGGATACCCTCCCGCCCATAAATATCATTATTATCACTGTTATGATTTATGATGATTATTATTGCTATTATTATTACTGTTATTATTGCTATGATTTTGTTACCATTATTCTTGTTGTTATTCTTGTTTCACTGAGTACTATTGTGTTTATTCTTGTTACTATTATTTATTGTTACATTGTTAATATCATTACCATGTTGAAGGCCTGGCCTCATTTTGCTTGTGCCCAGGCGCATCCTCCACGCGTTCAGTGTTGCTTCTTGCTTCTGAAGGTTTGGGCAGGTCTCCTAAACCCTAAACCCTAGCTTAAAAAGCAGAATTGGGTGCCGTATGAATGTCCTTGGGAAGCAAGGCTTCTCAAAACAATGTAGGCGCAGCGCGTGGGATCCTGATGGTGTGCATGAACTTTTGACAGGACTCTACACCCTAAAGCAAAAATTCAAGATTCGTAGGCCAGCTTCACAGCAGAATGCACGGCAAGATGAACCGAACTCAGATGACTAGAATTGGCCTTTGGAGTCTGATATACTAACAAAATTTGAGTGCTATACTTCAGTAAAACTACGTTCAGTCTATGAAGGATTTATGCTTGTCCACTTCTCGCCTCTGGCTGCGGGCAGAAAGCATCGACCTTTAGTCGCGAGTGCCCGCACCCCACGATCCTGAAATCCCCCAAACCCAACCCTACACCCTAAAGCCATGAATCAATAAACTCTATAAACCTAAACTTAAGAGCCCAAGAACCCCAACCCCTTAAACCCCAAAACCTTACCCCCAAGCAACTGAACCGTTCAGCCCTGAAACCCCCACTCAGGTCAGGAGGACTGCGTAAGTGGCTAGAAATGGTCATAGCTTCTCGGGGTTATAACTGGGTTGGCCCCTAAAACCCTTTGAAAAATATTAATATATATATATATAGAAGGCCATTAGGGAAAATAGTAAATATCCCATACTTATCAAGTCCCCTGACCCTCCAAACAGATCCACTGGAGCTTTCATTTCCTGATCAAGGATGAGGGAGAACTCCAGCGCACCACTGCAAGCCTCCACGGTTTAGGGTTAGAGCTTAGGGTTTAGGAGGTGGGGTTTAGGTTTATTAGGGTTTAGGGTTTAGGGGTTGGGGTTTAGGTTGGGTACTGCCCCCACGCAGCAACAGTCTATACTAGGGGTCCTATTAAGGGCTATATATAACCATATTATAGTTATTATCCAACTCTTACTGAGTGGGGGCAGTATCCAAGGTTTAGGTTTAGAGTTTGTAGAAGTAAATGGATTTCTCTACTACCCCCCCTAGGTTCCCCTTTCATTAGCCTTCATGAATCCCAGTCATCCATCCTTAGTTAGGGGATATTGAGGGGGACCTTGAGGGGGTAGGGTGGTAGGGGAATCCACAAATCGTAGAAGGGTCTAAGTGTAAGGTTCATCCCAGTAGCAACCTCAATTTCCAAGCCAGCATGGAAGCTCCGATGAGCACAACAAACTGCGATTGATTGAGCACCATATACTGAACTTGAGCCCCTAAACCCTAAACCCTAAAGAAGCTTCGACCTATCCAGAACCGATAATCATATTGGCATGCCTTGACGGAGGTTGGGAGTCTAGAGGCTCTGCAAGCCTAAACTCCAATCCTAGGCCCTGACAGCCTCATCTAAAGCATTTCCTTTCATCCGCCCTGTCCCCGAAACCCAATCCCTCGCCCCCTAAACGATGAATCCAAAAATCTAGTCCCCAAACCTTAACGCCTAAAGACCTTAACCTGAAACTCTGGACCCTAAACCTCCACATGTCCAGAAGCCCATACCAGGAGCCGGACCACCAGCAGGAGACTTGCCGGCAAAATGAACATCTCTGGCTCCTCCCCCGTTGTAGACATGGTTTACGGCTCAGCGGCTCAGGGTTTATGGAAACGTTTTGCCCCAGTCAGGGTCGCCTAATACTCTACGTAATTCCTACAAGAAGGGCATAGGATATATAGGATGGTGCAAAATGTCCATCCAAGGTAATAATGCCAAGCTTGTTTTAAGGATTGTTTTGGTTGAGAAAGTTTAAGCTATAGGTCAAGTGATCCCTTGAACTCCCGACATATCCTTGGGGTCTCGAAGGTTCCTGCGTTTTGGGAAAACCCACTCTGCACGCAACAAAACTTCTTGATCTCTGAACTCCATGAACCCGATACATACCCCTCATCCCGCCCATGGGAAGAAACCAAGATTTCAGGTAGTGATGGGGAGATGCCAGGAGTGACTTGTTGCAACTTGTAGCTAGCTCCACAGGGTTTTAAGGGTTAAGCTGGAGATTTCAAGTGGGCCTGGATCAAAATTGAGGTCCTCCCATATGCCCCAAGCCTTTCTTCCAAATGTTGACGTCCTTTTACATGTCACCAGAAGAAGGACTATAGTACTTGGGGATGTGTATACAAGGGATCTCCCTTTAGGGAATGCCAATTGGGATGCAACCAAGAGAAGCCCCAACGTCGCACCGCCCGACACGCGCATCCATGCACTTGTCTTGGCATGGGAAAAATGATAACATGCGCAGCACCTAAGACTACAACACCCAAGAACACAACAGGAATTGTCGCTGTACCTTTTACATGAATACATGCTTAGCACGAATGTACACAAACATGGAACCGCCATCCTACCTGCAAAGCCTCTGTGTCAAAAGTGCGAGGCTGCTGTAAAATTCAGTGGTCATTATCATATCTGACCTCCCACTCCCCCAGCCCGCCCATTCCGCCACCTAACAAACAGTTCAGCACCAAAGTTTCAAACCAGGGCCTCCGTCCCTACCCCACTCCCAACATCAAACCTGTAACCCAGGCCCCCAAAGTCCTGAAACGATTTAGGTTGGTTGATAGATTTATTCTCCCACTTCGATTCCCTAAGCCTTCAACCTCAAGCACTAAATATCAAATATCCCTATATGACCCCCCTATACATCCTTATGAAATGTGTCATAGCACTTCCTGAACCGAAAGCCAGCATCCTGTCCTAGAAGATCCAGCAGGGCTTGCTAGATCGACCCGACTTTGGGATCCGCCATCACGAGCCATTGTCCGTCTGGATCTACTGTTGAACCCTAAACCCTAAACCCTAAACCCATTACTTGAGCTATAGGCTAATCTCCTTAAAGGAGTTTCTAAGGGACTACTATAGGGGTGACTACTGTTGATACTAGAAACTCACCGTGACCTTCACTTCATATACCATATCGCCAAAATTTCCAATTTATAAGGTACTTGGGGTCATGCAGGGTTTTTTTGTATCCACCGAGGTGTCTGGGAGGAACGCAATTCGCAAGAAACCTGTTGTTGTTGTTGTTGGCTGACTCAGTCATGTTGTCTGTCTTCCAGACGTTTCAGCTCTGCTCTCACGAATTCCTCACTGTGGAAGTTTGCCTCATATCCACATGTGAGAACACACAAGGACCCCTGCTCAACCGAAACTCAAACCCTAAACTAAACCCTAAACCCTGTATTATTGCTATAGTAGTTTCCATTTTCTTTTCCACTATCCCTCCTCTCACTGCAAACTCTGTTGTGAAGCCCTCTTACCTGAACATCCATGCAGTATCAGACTGTCCTTGCTGACCCACATGCTTCCATCCATCTACATTACTTACTCGTTCTGCGTAGAGAATAGGGGAATAAAATCCCAACATAACCCCTAAAACATAATATATGTTGCTATTCTAGGGGCTGCAGACATTTACCAAAGCCTTTCTGAGCCACAACAAGCAATCAGGCCTCCTCCAAACCTCTATGGCTTTATAAGGATTATGTAGGGGTTAACGATGCACAACAATTCTTAGGGTTTGGGGGTTGTCCCACATACCATCATTCTGAAGGGGAAGCCTAAGGTCCTCTGTTAGAAGGAGAACTTTGCGAACCTCTTATGATAATCACAGGGTCCCCAAAGCGGGTGGTGGGGGCTACCAAACCCCCCTCGTTATCACAGGGTTGATACGGGCCACCCTTAAAGGAGTTCACGGAAGCCCGGGCCCCAACAGGTTCCAGGGGAAAGGGAGTAGGGGTTTTGAAAGGCTCCTCTGGCGGGGGTGGCTAGCAACATGATGTCGAGAACTCAAGCAAAAGTCAGAACCGTAGCTCAGCTCGGGAGTTCAGATAAGGTGCTTTTTTACGGGGAACATGATGGCGTACACCGACCTTATATGAGCTATAGTCTAAACTCCTAGTATCCCCCTCGGTAACCCCTTTAATACTCCCCAATATAATCCCCTATATAACCCCCCTTTAAGAAGTTTAGACTACAGCTCATATAAACCTTACACCCTCTTGGAAAACTCCCCGACAGAAGTTGAACTTTGCCAGAATCTCCGCCCTGAACCGTAAACCCTGAACTCTAAACCCTGAACCCTATAACCCCACTATAGTAGTTTCCATTTTCTTTTCCATTATGCCCATACAACCCCAATATATACCTCATAATCCCCAACAACAACAGAAGAACCCTGGGTTATGCTGGCAAGGTGCACAAGATAACAGATTGGGCGCCCTTGGGCCTACAGAAACACTGCATGGAGGACCTCTCGCACCACAGATTATAAGATCCCCGATGTATTGTAATTCCGTGCGTGTGCGGTTTGCAGGGTGCATCATGCATCCATGCCAATGATAATGGAATGGGGAAGGGGCTTACTAGGCGTTTGTATCCTTTACGCGAAAAGCTCTCATGCAGCTCTTGCACCAAGGAATGCGCTGCGGGCATTTAAGCTCCAATCATGCAATTCCATAAATAAGGGGCCCCCAATATAGACTCCAAAATACTATAATAATCCTCAGTATGGGTATGGGGACTCTCCAAAAGGGTACCCCTAATTTTGGGAAACCCTAAACCCGAAATAGTAGTTTCCATTTTCTTTTCCATTGTCCCTATATAAGCCCTATATAACCTCTCTAAACCCTTTAAAAAGGTACCCCTAATTTTGGGAAACCCTCATTAACCCTAAGCCATAAACCCTAAACCCTAAGCCCTAAACCCCTCTAATTTTGGGATCATGCAAATGGCTGTGATAGTCAAAGGATCGCCTTTGGCGAGGCTACGTGGACCGCCACACCATGCTGGGCGTAAAGCCAGGGTAGGGACCCAGCATAAGGGTTTAGGGCTTAGGGCTTAGGGTTTAGGGTTTAGTGTTAGGGTGTACGTAGGGTTTAGGATTTAGGATTTAGGGTTTAGGGTTTAGGGTGTAGGATTTAGGGTTTAGGGTTTAGGGGGGTTAACGTCATTCACTTTGGGATACTATGAAACATCATCCTTTTATAATCAGTATTGGGTTCTGTATATGAAAACTGATAAGTATGCACGCCTCCCCCTAAAAATAAACCCTCCCATCCCCCCTAATATAAGAACCACACCCCAACAGAGTACCGCATGAATTAGGAACATCTATTACTAGGCAGCGGGCGGGGAAGTTATCATAGTAGTCATAATAGTAGAAATAATTGCAATAAAAGTGGTAATAGACATTACCCCAAGAAGAAAAAAGGATCCTTTTTACATAAATGTAAGGAATCCCACAACCCAAAAAGTATATAGGATTCCTAACATTGATCCAGTAGTAAGTCAGCTTTGACCAGGTAGGTTTTCTAGAAATCAGGGAGCCTCTACGCGTCGTCGTCAGGTAGGCTGCAAGAGGTGATGGAAAGCATGTGGGACCTGTGAGTGTCTCTCCATAGGGGGCCCTTCAAACCCCCCGGATACATAAGGATGACAAAGAAGTTATGGGATGTTATGGGCCTTTCTATGCGTCTATAGCGGTGATTTTGAGAAACTTCCATCTCTTCATCTGATCCACTGTCTAAACCCCTAGTATCCCCCTCTAATAACCCCTAGAATACTCCCCAAAATAATCCCTCATAAAACTCCCCTTGAAGGAGTTTAGCTATAGCTCATGTGATATCAGGACGACTTAGGGTCGTCTTGGGCACTAGTCTCACGATACAGGGGGGGGTGGTGCTCCGGCTCTGTTGGGATGCCAACACATTTTACGCCCTGGCAGGTGGTGCCTGCGAACGACTCTACGGGGTTGCTGTTAAGGAACGTAATTTGAGCTACTATATTGGGGAAACCATATTGATTACTATTTATACCCACTATGGCAACTTAACCGAAAGGTCCTTAACAGCCACCCAGTCTAACTATGTAAGGTGTGCGAGGACCTTCTGTGGATATTTCATCTATCAGCCGTTTCCCAAAAGTAGACCTGGACTCTACTTGAACCCCACACCCTAAGCCCCAAACCTACCGATATGATATAGTAGTCGCCATTCCATCAATAAGGGGAACCCTATATAGACTCCAAATTACTTTAATCCTCAGTATGAGGACCCCCCCAAAACAATCGTACGCTAATTTTGGGAAAATGCCCATTGACCCTAAGCCCTAAACCGCTAATGAAACCATGGTAGCTCCCAGAGGCTGCCAGCATAGCTGCAGATCTACCCTTCTAGATGAGCCACAGTCTGAACTCTGAGTATCCCCATTATTCAGACCCACAAAAGGATCTAAAAATCAGATTCCCTAGAGCCATCTGGGAAATTTTATATGGGTGATATAGGGATTATAACGAGTCTGTATAGTGGATCTGATTTTTGGATCCTCCCAGGCGTCTGGCTAATAACCCAATAGTCCCCTGCATAATGCCCCATGTAATCCCCTTGAAGGAGTTTAGACTATGGCTCAGATGATCTCCCTGGTGCTCAGTAGGGAATTGAGAGCAAAACGGAAGCTACTATACTTAGCCCACTCTATGCTAGGAAGAAAAAAGGAGCCTTCTTCCATAAATATAAGGAATCCCATCCCCCGAGAAATGTAAGGGATCCCT